GTCTCTACTGTGTATTTGACTGAGGTTGCTGGAAGGTGTTGAAAGGGATACAGTGGTGGCCATTTTAATCTTCATCAGCAAACGGCTTTTCATGCCTCTTCAGTTTCTTTGCACAAAACCACTGCAACAGTGAGAAACATGGGTAAGGCTAGAGGTTTTTCCCAGCTCCCTCACACTCTCCTTCAATCTGTTGTGGTCTGATACTTGCACATAGCAGTCCTGTGGTGCAAGCCACACCAATGGGTTGTGTGGGCTGTGTGTTGTCTGGGAGCAGACGAGGAGCCAAGTATGCCTTGCTGCTTATGTCTTGGTAGCTGAAATGTAAATATAAGGGTTGGGTTTTGTGTTATTAACTTTCTCTGACAGGCAGATGTGATTGAGCTGTCATCTTTATAGCAAATACAGACTGGAGACTGCCAGAAGAAATATCACCCTCCATCCCATAAGCATTCTCTGTATGTGAAGTAGACAGTGAAAATTAGGGAAGCATGCTCTGGTTTGAAAAGACAAAGCTCATTTGTAACCAAAGGTGTTTTTCTTCCTTATATCCCAAATTCAAATAAGAAAATTATGCTTTTTGGTATTGCAGGGAAAATTCAGTTTTATAATGGATGATGGAAGCATCCCTGTAAGTGTAATTGTAATATTACAGATTCTCCTTTGACTTCTGAATGGGTAATCTCATTAGAAAGTTTTCATGTATTTAAAGCTTATTAACTCATATTTGCCAAAATTCTGAAGCAATCATGGAGAGGCTCAGTGCTTACTGTGGTGTCTTGGAAAGATGACACAAAGAACAATCTGAAATTAAAGTTAGTCATAGATCAGAAAGTACTTCTGTACTGTAAAAGCTTAATAGTTGTCCATTGTCCCATATTCCCCAGGGTCCTGCTATGTATTTGCATCAATTTGTATGGAATCCACTTCCATATGACAACAATGCTTTGCTATCCTGTCTGTTCCACTTTCTTAATGCTAGTAGGATATTATATCCTCAGGCTTATTACTGTCTAAAAGATGTCTAAATATTTTTCTCATTTTCTCTATTTTGATCATAATAAAACAAAAAAAAAAAAAAGTGAAACTGACTCATTTGTAGTTCATGGAAGCAAGAGGTGGCTAGTTGGCACATGTGGAGTTATTTGTTCTACAGCTAGGATTGTTAAAGACTGGTATTGAAAGACCTATGAGGAGCCAGAGAGTGAGAGGAAGGGGAAAACAGCACTAACAAGAAATAAAGATGATGGGGAAAGTGAAAGAAAATGAGAACTAACATTAATTATGGTGGTGTTACACAGAAATTGAATTCAAGAGTAAAGGTATGGAGGGGTAGGCTGGGTAATAAATTGAGGGTTTTCAAAAGGTGGGGTTCTTTTTAATGTCAGAAAACTGTGACAACCCTCATTACTTATCCCCTTAATTTACACCATCCTTTGCTGTTGCAGTTCTGACGCAGAAAAGTCTACGATAAGTACTTTAAAAATTCAGTTTATTTCAGTATACAGAGAAGAATTGTATTCATGCTTCCAAAGAATATGGGCTTACCTAATCCTCTGCTGACTGCTTGCCTGATGTAGAATGATATTATCCTTAACGGGCAGACCAGCAGCCAAACTCCTCCCTCCCCTCCCACATCACCCACCAGAGATCCAAAGCACCGGACAAACAGAGGGAAGAACAAGTCAATGCACTCACCCACAGCAGTGGACATGAAGGGAGCAAGCTGGGCAAGGAGCCAAGCCATGGGAGATGGTAGCAGCCAGGCCCTGAGCCCAGTTACATAGCAGGGACTGAGAGGGGGCTTCTTGTTCCAGCCCTGCCATCCTGGAAACTCCGCTATGCCGTGAAGAGTTGGGGAGCGCTTCCAATAGCCAGAATCCTCACTCGGCACATACACTGTATAGGCAGACCTCCCAACCCCACTGCAAGCAGGGTCAGCTCTTATAGAGATGGCTTCCTGGCCCACCTACAAGTTAATGTGGGAGGGGGGGGTTCCAGCCCTGCCATCCTGGAAACTCCGCTATGCCGTGAAGAGTTGGGGAGCGCTTCCAATAGCCAGAATCCTCACTCGGCACATACACTGTATAGGCAGACCTCCCAACCCCACTGCAAGCAGGGTCAGCTCTTATAGAGATGGCTTCCTGGCCCACCTCCAAGTTAATGTGGAAGATGGGGGCATGTGGTGCTGATCTCATCAGTTCCCACCCAAGACTGGTCAGACACTGGGTGAAAACCAGTCAGGAGGATCTTTCTTGCCTGGTTGTGGACATCATCCATATGCTCACCCTCATTCAGGGCTGAGGGTTTAACCCCAGCACTCCGTCTAGTGCCCCACTGCTGTTCCTACGTCTTGCTGGTCAGCAGCAGGTCAGAGATACAAACCTATTTCTGAACTACTGTGGTCCTTCATTGATTCTGGGACTATCCAGTCTTAGAGCCTGTCCTGGTTTGAGCTAGAAGAGAAATAATTCTGTTCAATGATTTTACCTTTCAGCTCTTCTGTAACTGCACTTTCTTAAGTTAACAGCATATTTTTGTAGACAGTCTGTGTCTAGAGGTGATAACACTTGATGCTTACAGTTACTACCAAGGACTGGTGTGCTGAAAGTCTCTTTCTTGTATTTGCTCCTGTGGAGACCAAAGTCACTGCTAAATCCTGTGTGCCACATTGGGGGGTGCTTCTTCAGGGAGGAGCAGACAGGACAGGTGACCCTAAACTGGG